GGAGCACAAGGCCACCGATTGTGGATCCCCCACATTGTCAAGTTTTTAACTCCGTTACTGGGGACCATTTTAGGTTATCTGTAAAAGACTTTGGTTTTTTTTATTTTAGCCGTTTTTGTGTTGTTTTCTTTTGTTTTTGTACTTAATGTGTTTTTGTTGAACCACTCTTCGCTTCGGAGGGTTGTTTATGTTATTTGATTTTATTTTTAACGTTTGTGTGTTTGTATACTGAATCATGAATTCCAATGGCTTCTCTAACACATGGGATTATCCACCAACACCCGAATGGGGGTACTCCGATACTTCATAGAGTAATCAAGATGAAGGAAGCCAAGGAACGGGGTTCTATGATCCACCTCCCTTCATGAAGAACAACCATATCCATAGGAATATCAAGATGATTTTTCATACCAAGAAAACTTATTTCCACAACCAAAGCCTAAGAGTGGTGCATTTATGACTCTCACGCCTTCCCCTTCCAAAGAAAAACTTTGAAGACCCAATCTCAAAGGTGGCAGAGCAAGATGACCTTATCGAAGATACATGGCTTGGAAACTTGCTATCCGACATATGCTTGATGAAGAGGGAGAAGGATTAAGGAAAGAGGTTGAAGAGGAGGAAGTGAGCATCGAAGAACATGATGAGTTGTTCCTAGTGAGAGAAAAAAATTTGCGAAGAAGCAAAGGTGTTTGAAGAAGAAAATGGTGTCAAGGATGAGGACGAGGTTGGGTGGATGAAGCTTGCACAAGTTAGGAATACACATGATGTACCGTTCCTTCAACTTAGGTTTTTTTATCTAGGCAAACAACAATAGTGATTAAGAAAATAACCTAATCACTACTCTAGCTAATTACAAGGGTGGGAGCTGATATTGGCATGAATCCCCCAAATTCTATCATTTGGTCATTGTTGAGTACTACCCTAGATTGATTGACTCGATATCGGGGGGATTTCTATTTTTACTACTTTTCACACACATATGTTTGGAGCCTTTAAATTCATGAATTTTGGGCATGCAACTAGAATTCAAAGCATTCATAGAATAGGCCATACCATGGAACCCCCCCCCCCCCCAAAAAAAAACACTTTAGCATGACATTGTCTCAATGGAGAAAAGATAATGAGGGTAGAACGAAGTTACTGGATCAAGTATGCACTGTGTTGGAGGGACTAGGAAGAAACGTGAGATATGAAAGAGCGAGCCAATCATCAAAAACACAGAGAACACCCAAAGGTCGAATTATAGACTTTAAACCAATGCAAAGAGAAGTGTTTGAATGGTATGACCTATTCTATGAATACTTTGAAGCCTAGTTGAACGCGTCCCGCCATGTATTACCTGATTTGACCCATGATGGGAGGCTATTAACCGACCCACAGTAGCGCGGGGCGGGACATGAGTATCTACTTTCAACCCGCCCTGCCCCACCTCAATCTTGGCCCATGCTATCTCGATTTCTTATAATATCTATTCATATTTCTTCTATTCTAACTTTTATTCAACTAGTTACACTTGATCTTTCAACTAGTTAGACAAATTACTCATTCTATTGTTGTTACTATTTTTCATTCATAAAGTGTTTCTCCTTTAATTTTACATATAAGTTTTTTAAATAACATGTAATAGTGGGTAGACCCACCCGTCTCGTACCTACGGGAGTAATACTCACCGCCGCCTGGCCCATTGCCATCGCTGCAAACTAGCCCTCTTAAGTTTTGTTCCTAAATTACTCCCCCAACTTCATATTTTATTAACGAAAAAAACTTATTTTTGTACGCTACATAAGACTCTTCTTAACTTGATATTTTTTACAACCATATACCTTCCGTCAGCGTATCATTATTTCACCGTAACGAAACTAGCCAAAGTATGTTTCTTTCATCTGATTTCATTATTACTAACGCGAATGGACGGGCCAGAAAAACAAGAAATAAACACCTCAGAAAGTATGAACTGAAAGTTAAAACAACAAGAAGATCGAGATAACAACGGCTTGTAGATTCAGAATTTTCGAAAACCGAATGTGTAAGTTACTACTTTGCTTGTCTACATAGACAATAGGATACACTATCTGACACTAAATGGAATATCAATATGCCCATGCATTACTCAATGCCACCTCTGATCACAATATATAGAGAGGGAGAGAATTTTGCCGTATTTCGGTGAATTTAGGGGTAACGTATAATTTTAGGCTCCGGAATTATCATTAACTAAATTTGAATTCTTAATTCAGAAAATCCAGATGTAATAGTAAAGAATTAAATACATTATCATTTTTCTTATTTTTATTAATCGATTCATATCTTCTTCGTTTTAACCATGATTTCTTTTTTTCTTTTGCAAAGATGGAACGAGTTCGTTATGTTCTACAAAATGAAATCCATTGTCAATATTTTTGAGAAAAAAATTCTTACCTCTCATTACTAATTGCATACCATATGGTATCTTCTTTGTTTTTAAGTCGTTTTTGCAAATTTTTGCATAGAAGGAAGTAGTTCATCATGATCTATTGAATCTACAAATTTATGGGTGAACAAATTACACGAACAAAAAATACCACACAAAATAAGAGCATACCATATGGTATACAACGTACAATGGTGGTATGAACATACCAAACTGTAGGATGATGGAATACATGATAGTAGAAGTGTCATTTACGACTTTCAACATTGTGTACAACAGGGTGGTATACCATATGGTATGCTCTTATTTCAATATCCGTCTTTAACAAATGGTATTCTACATTGCTACTACTCATAATAAGGCCAAAATTATAAAATAAACACATGTGTACATAAAAGAAAAAACCGTGAACCCAACGCAACAACACAAACCCACAGCCATGTTTTACTTGGCCGCTAACCTAACCCAGCGGCATAAACCACGCTATTCAAACAATCCATTCCCATGCTGTGGCTATGATTAAACCCAATAACTATAGCATTAGAATTAATGACTAATAATAATAATAATAATAATAACAATAATGATGAAAACGTTGAGGATAATATGAATATACGCAACTAGGGCTGTTAATGAGCAGGGCCGAATCGAGATTTACTTTGTTTAGGTTTGGTTCATTTATAAACGAGCCGAACTCGAGCTCGGCTTGTTTATGAACGAGTTGAGTCGAGCCGAACACGAGTCAACTCATTTATTGAATTTTGGCTCATCATTAAGATCAAAATTTTGGATCGAGCTCAACTCTAAGATTTATATATCATTAACAAACTAACTCATAAGATATAGATAAAATTTCTCATAAACTGTAATCAAGTTGGCTCGTTAGTAACAATGTTGAGACATCTCATGGACTCAAAATGAGATAGTTCATGAAACTAACTAAACAAGCCACCCAATCGAGCTAGTTCACGAGGCTCACGAGCGGAACAAGGTTGAGCTCAACATCGGCTCGTTGATAAACGAATCGAGCTTTTATTGAATCGAACGCGTTTTTATCGAGTACGACACCGAGCCGTTCGCGAATATCTTGGTTCGTAAAGCACCTATATATTGGGTCAAATTAGAATTATTGATTATAATTAAGTTAACTTTAATATTTAAGATTTAGAAGTAGCGCCTACAGTCTACAGCATAAAAATATCAATATACTGGGTAGGAAGTTTGTTAGGGATTTCTTTTTACTGGTTCCTTTAGATTAGATATATAGCATTACTTAAATAATATGAAAACATATATAAAGTTATACCAAGAAAGCTAGTGATAGGATATTTTTTAATAAAATTTTAATTCCATCGTTTCACACAGCGAAAATTATTTACCATTTAAAATATGATATCTAGTATGTCGATCGGTACGTTAGGATTTCTAATACAGTGTTCAAAACAGAAACGCTTAGGAAATGAAAACCGTTTTGCAGAGATAAGTGGATCTTAAGTAGTGGATAACATGCAATGATAAAATTTAATTGCAGAGATTTCATTAAACCACTATCTTCCTTTTGTTCGTCCTTACCTCTCCCTCTCTTGACTAAGGAAACCGAAAAATCTTTTAAGCCTTTAAGGCTGTCCACCTGCGAGTCAATCTTGATCGGTGAGAAAAATAGGTGTCACACGCCCGTGGGTCGGCAAGCAGCAAGGTTCCAGTAAGGCATGGTAGTAGAATTATTAGGTAACAGTAATTATGTTTTAGCTTTATATATAGTAATACTACATGGAGAATATTTTTTGTTAGAACGTATCGAAAAATCGGCAATATAAAAAAGTAAACAATAAATAAATTTACGTGATTCACTAATATGAGATGTGTTATCTACGTACACGCGCACAAAATAATAGTTTCTCTATGTTTAAGGAGATACATATTATAGAAAAGATTACAAACCGCGAGGAATTTTACAGTGATATATAACATTGGTGCTATAGGTTTTTGCCTTTATGGTACAACTTCATATTGTATCTATACTTTTTGTACAAATTCTTTTATGGTACAAATTAAACTTGTACCTTATGTGATGGTACAACTTCAAGTTGTAAAGTTGTACCATAACATAATTATACAAATTTCTTTATGGTACAACCTAAACTTATACTTATGGTACAACTTCAAGTTGTACATTAAAACACCAATACTATATAGTAGAAGTGCTCTACAAACCACGCATAGTAAAACAAACGTGTATAAACCACCATTTCCTGTCAAGTCACAGCAACATTTTCGTTCAAAAAATACAAAACAAAACTATTTGCTCATTTCTAGCATCGTAAGCGTCCCCCAATTAAATAAATATACACCTCGCCGAGTTGGCAGGCAATGAAATCGACGTCCGACTGGTATAGCTGTTGTACGTCAATGGACCGTAATGAATCTCTCGTGAAACCCCGGCACCGCTCCTATAATTAATTGGTCCCAATAAAGCTCTATCTATATATATATATACACCTTCTCCCCGTCAGATTAATCAAAACAAAAACAAACAAAAAAGCATTGTAATTCATCCGAGAAAAATCAAAGCACAGGAAAATCTCTGGCAATGGCCCGTAAGCCCCGATCCGTGTCTCCCCAGGTTTTGTTGGCTTGGGTCGTTTTGGCGGCTGTTTCGATCACTCCATCGACGATTCTCGCCACCAAGTCCACCAAGTTCATGGTGGGCGATAGCAGAGGCTGGGACCAAGGCGTCGATTACGTAACTTGGGCAAAGGGCAAGACATTTCACGTCGGGGATAAGCTTGGTGATTAATTACTAATTCATTCATTCATTATTTGAAGTGGGCACAAACATTTATTACTCCAAGTTATCTGATCGTTTGATTAATTTTATGGTAAACACTAATTATTAGTCAAATTTTTTTTTCGCCTTCTTTTTTATTAGTTAAACCTATTAAATTACTAATAATTAATCAAATATTTTGCAATACATCAAAATATTATCCATTTTGATGATACCATACATAATTTTGTAACTTTTTTCTTAGTTAAAATATTAAAGTTTTGGATTGTTGACATACATGTGTCTCTTTTAAGTTATTGTTATGTTGCCGGGTCATATTCCTATTATATTGCTAACTATTAGTAATTCAATAGTTTTGCTAATAAAAAGGAATGCGGGAAAGTTGGCTAATAATTAATGTTTATCCTTAATTTTATGAGCTCTAACCAATTTTAACAATCAATTATTGTTTTCTATAAAATTTATTTTTGGATTTTAGTTTAGAGAATCGAGGCCTGAGATGTATGTTTTAGAGGTTAGGCTATAGCATTACAACCCAAAGTCAGTTTAATTTATACTCTAAACAGAAGAATCTCACTAAGGGTACCTGAATATTGTATACTCCATGAGCATGACAATTATATATGTTTGGTTCTCTCGTACAACAGGCGAAACCTAGTGTATGTCGTATACCAGCAATTTTTTATTGTACTCATCCATCTCAACGATAAGTAAATATGCGGGTTCCGTTTTATGTGGGATTATAAAATAAATTACCGCATTTATACTGATCCTTGACATGGACGCGAACGATGGAGATTGTCTGGTGTACGACATACACCAAAATATGACTGGGTTACGATACACATCACTATATATATAATTTCTATGTAAATACCAATTTCTGACACATCGGTTTTTCTGATGATTGATTGTGCAGTTTTCCTGTACAGTGAGACTGTACACAACGTTTTCAAAGTGACGAAACATCAATACCAAAACTGTACAATCCCGTCGTCGGCGAAGCACGCACTAACCTCTGGATACGACATCGTCAAGCTGACGTCTCCTGGGAAAAAATGGTACATTTGTGGCATGGCCGATCACTGTGCCACTGGTGGCCAAAAGCTTGCTATCAATGTGAAGCCATCAAAGCACCACCACTGAAGAGAGTACTCTTAGCTACGAGTACTTCTGACGTTGTTCAAGGAATGCTTGAAATTTGCTTATGGGGTCTCTTTCAACCCAAATTATCACACGCGTGGGACAGCAGGATGAAATAGAAGAGAGAATAGCAAAATAAGTTGGCATTAGGCTCAAAATAAGCAGCTAATAACAGATGGTGCGACTACCCATTAGGGTTCGTACGTACTACTGTGGTTTGTAGAAAAAGATAAACACGTATAAGCTTGCCTAAAGAAAAAGAATAAGCAAAGAACGAAACAGTTAACTTGAGAAATAAATAAATAAAGGGTTAATATTCTCGTATGGGCTGAACTTTGACCAAAATAAACATCCTGGCCAATCTTTTCGATCTATAACATCCTGACCCGAACTATACACCAAAATAAACAATTTGGCCAGATCCGACTTTTGACCGTTAACTTGGACGGTCAAACGCGTTGACCGTTAGTCAACACGCCATGTCACTGCCAAGTCAGCATAAAATATTTTAAATTATTATAAATTTAAAAAAAAATCATCTAATACCTTAGTTAAACCAAAAATGAAAAACGAAAAAAAAAAATATTTATAAGATCTTCTGACTTGGCAGTGACGTGGCGCGTTGACCGTTAGTCAACGCGTTTGACCGTCCAAGTTAACGGTCAAATATCGGGTTTGGCCAAATTGTTTATTTTGGTGTATAGTTCGGGCCAGGATGTTATATATCGAAAAGATTGGCCAGGATGTTTATTTTGGTCGAAGTTCAGGCTATACGAAAATATTAACCCATAAATAAATAACAGATAGTTTGGCAATGGCTTAGTTAAAGATGTTACAGACCCATATTCAAATTGCATTTCAAAGTCATTTCGAGCGCATTAATTTATTTTTATAAATGGATGCGACACATCTCAGCTTTCATTCATAACACTATGAAGTTCGGAAAGGCCTTGACAGTCATACATGAGAAAGTGGTATAAACTAGGGTCAGAAACATGAACAAGGTGAAAACCCAACGGGAGGCAATGCCCTCTACTAGCAAGATAGTCGGCACCCTTGTTGCCCTCTCTATAAATATGGTAACACGAGACTTCCCAGTTTCGAGAAAATAACTTCTCGAATCGATCAATATATATAATAGCAACATGATGATGATCTCTGTTCGGGCTGTGAAGAAGCTGAACGGCGCACTTAGAATCCAGCTCGACATGGACCCGATGATAGCCTCGATCGAAGGCCAACTGAAACCCTTCTACAGCTCCTCTCAATTCTGCTCGGGTTATAGAACAAATCCCCAGGTTACTAGCGAATGCCGCAACGCAGCATGCAGTATGATCTCTTATCAGGCCACCTGATTATGCATGGCCTGAATCATGAAGGACATAACCGTTTGAATTGAGAGTAACCCACTCGGGAGGTGGCGGCTTTCACGAGATCTCAACCTCCGTTCTAATGGGCAGACTCGACATATGAACAAACCTGTCTTTATCCATGGCATGCCTCACGACAGTTATCCAAGCCAGGATACGCTGTAGAAAAGCTTCAGTGGTGACGACCTTGCCTGAAAAGACCCTATCGTTCCTGGTCCTCCGAAGGGACCAACAGATGAGGCCAAAATCAAGGCCAGTATGCTCTCGAGCCATGTTCCGAAGAATCCAATCCCGAAAATGACTATCAAAAAGTTGTGTTGATCAGAAAGCTGAGTGAGATGCAACCAAGTTAACCTGGAAAAAGAACAATCCCGCAACACATGCAAGACTGTTTCAGGATGTTGCTTGCAGTAGCCACACATAGGAGAATCCGCAATATGATGTCTCGTCCGCTCCTGGTTGGTGAGAAGTTTGTTCCGAATAGCTAGCCAGAGAAAGTGGTTGACACGGGCCCGGCCGCTCCACCTCCATATCGTACGCCAATCGAAAGTCCACCACATGTCCACCTCTCCCTTGGCTATGTCGTAGGACAACCTTACTCGGAAACGACCGTCCTGCTCTGGCCTCCAGGTCATACTATCCTCTCCTGCATGAGGTTGTGGCGGCTGGATCCCCAGTATTTGCAAAACAGCTTCTTCATGTAGCAAAGAATGTAACCGAGGTTAGGTAGATCTCACTCACCATTTTGATCCACAAAGGCTACGACAGGTGGGAAGGATCCACTGTTAGCCCATCCTCCTCTGCGAGGTCGAGTAGGAGGTCGCCGCTATCGATCCACCTGTCAGTCCAGAAGGAAGTGGTTTGTCCGTCTCTGATGTTCATGCGCATGTCTGTCGACATGATCGGCCATGCCTTCTTCACTCCTCGCCACAGGTTCGAGTTTCTTATCGATGACATGGCCACAAGAATGCCATTCACTTTCCTGAAATACTTGCCCGCAACACACGGACCCACAATTCATCTGAATTTTTAACAAAAGACCAAGCTACATTGGAGAGCAATGCAAGATTCAACTCATGAGCATTGCGGAGGCCCAGTCCTCCCTCCTTTTTCGGACAACAAACCGCCTCCCAATGGACTAGATGCACCTTACGCACACCTTCCGGAATTTTCCGGTCAATGGAATTGCATATGGATTAGGGGAGCAGGGTATTCTGCATAGCATAAGCTGGAAGGACATTCAACACTGAGACAGCCAAAGTTACCCGCCCCGCAAGGCTAAGGTTTTTAGCTTTCCACCCAAACAGCTTCTTCTCTAGACGGTCAAGAATATATCTGTACGTCATCTTGTTTACCCGGCCATGCAACACAGGAACCCCCAGGTAACGACCCAGATCCTGAGTCATCGGCATCCTCAAGCCACTAGCAATCGTGGCGCCAATCTGCCTTGGGGTATTCTGGGAGAAGAAGATGACCGATTTATCTTTGCTGACATGGTGACCCGAAGCAAGAAAAAATTGATCCAAACACTCCGGTACAACAGATCCTTGCGTCTCCGTTGCTTCTGCAAAAAGGATAAGGTCATCAACAAAAAACAGATAAGAGAGATCAAGGCCACCTGGAGATGTCCGTATCGGCTTCCACTTCTTCCTCGCGACCTGCGTTCGATGGTATTACTCAGTCGCTCCATGCATAAAGTAAATAAATAGGATGATAGCGGGCAGTGCTGTCGTAGGCCCCGAGACGGGGCAAATTCTTCCGTCAGGTTCCCATTCCATAAAACTTGCATCCTCGTCGAAGTAACACACTGCATCCCTCAATTAACTTCACAGGCAAACCCACTTCTACCATTGTCTTTCTCAAAAAACTCCAACTTAGGCGATCATAGGCCTTGGCTAAATCGATCTTCAACACCATCTGACCCTTCCTCCCTTTATTGAGACCCATAGAATGAATAACTTCCTAAAGAATGATGATGTTATCCGTGATGTGTCTACCCAGAACGAAGCTTGTTTGATTCGGATGAATAAGATCCCGCATAAAGGGTTTGATACGGTTTACCAGGACCTTAGCAAAAGTCTTATAGACTACATTTCACAATCCAATGAGCCAGGATTGAGTGATAAGTTTCGGACTCTCTTTCTTTGGGATTAGGCAAAGAAGAGTAGAGTTCACCAAAGAGATACGAGTCGGATCATCCAGGCAACTTGTAACAAACTGAACAAAAGAGGGAGCTACCTTGTTCCAGCATTTTTGAAAAAAGACAGGTGGAATGCCATCCTTCCCCGGAGCTTTGAAACCCCCATGCTTTTGAGAGCCTGCCAAACCTCCTCCTGGGTGATCGGCCTAACCAGTCTGTCTCCATCTTGACCACAGATTTTCATAAAGTCGGCCGGCAGGTGAGTCATCGCGTCAGGACCTACTGTGAAAAGGAGACAAAAATAGTCACATGCCATCTTCTGGAGTTCCAACTCATCGAATACCCAGGTTCCTTCCGTTGTACGCAGCCCAAGAACTTTGTTGAATCTCCTACGTTTCAAAGTTGCCAAAGCGTCGCTTCAATTTGCTTTCGGGTCTCTTCCTCCTCGCATAACAAAGCTCGGGTGGGCCGGTCCTCGTTCCGCATTTCGAGCTGCATCAGCTTCCTGCAAAGCTTCCGTTTTCTATGTAAATTGTGACCAAACGTCTCTTTGTTCCATTCTTGCAAACGGAGGAGAGCTGACCCAGTTCCACTGGGAAGAATCCTGTGTCTCACCAGGACTTATCAAGCACTTCCTGGAAATTATCATGTCCCATCCAGGCCGCCAGAAATCTGAAAGGTCGATCGCCATTGCAATTATCTTTCTGAGAGCATTTTAACCAAATTGGTCGGTGATCAGAACCAAGCCGCTCCAAGTGACAAGTGGATGAAGTTTGGAACTTAGTGAACCAGGCTTTATTGCTTAGGGCACGGTCTCGCTGATATAAGTTACCTCATCGCCAAGTGAAACAAGGACCTGTGAAACCAATTTCCATCAAACCGCAGTCGGTAACGCATTTCCTAAATGACCGGGTACGTGCCTCTTGATATCCTGCACCTCCCATTCGGTCAGACAGGCCGAGAATACTGTTGAAATCACCCGCCAGGATCCAGGGAGTTGAAACCCCACTCGAGATCCGACGAATCTCCCTCCACAAGTCTTCCCGACAAAAGGCATCCGGGCTACCATACACCGCCGAAACCAAGACCTCCAATCCAGGATTACTATTCTTTGAACACTTCATGTGAATCATCTGCTCCCATTCATAAATCGACGTTGCTGTAATATTGTTCTTACGCCAAAGAACCCAGATGCCACCGGAGAACCCTACAGAATCCACCTTCAGATGACCATCAATACCTGTGCGAGTAACAACACGATCAGCGACATTGCCACTGATTTTTGGTTCCAAAATAAATACTAAATCGGGTTTAGACAACCCACAAAAATTCAACAAGAAAGTGACAAATTGATCATTTCCTGCTCCTTGGCAGTTCCAAGACAAGATATCTAACATAATTGGAAAAGGATAAAAGAAAAAGACTTCCCCCACAAGCGCGGTCAAACGCAAAATCATGTAGGCGGGGGAGGAATCTCCTTCCACTTCTCCGGT